GTACCTCGTCCTCATTTTTTTATGAGTACATGGAAATCTTCCTGCTCAGCTATGCAATTAGTATTACTGTACAATGTCTCATGTTGATGCGCCATTGAGCTTGTAAAAGGCAAAATCATGTGGCTTATTACCTGAAACTAAAGCTTGTGGGAAAAGCTATTGCTAATTCTCTAGTATATGCTTTTGTTTCTGTTCCAGCACACCACTTCTGGCTGCAATTCGCAAGGACGATTCACCTGATCTGAGCGAAGTCAGAAGGATACTGCAAGAACATCTGAAGGTCAGCTTTCCTGATCTCCATGAAGTCAAACATGTGTGTTCCTTCAACCTGTACTGAAGGTTTTGACGATTTTGCTGCAGATACCGGACACTCCTCTGAAAACTCGAAGGCTAGTCGTCAAAGTCTGCGACATCGTCACCCGAAGAGCTGCCCGCCTAGCCGCCTGCTGGTATTGTCGGGATACTGAAAAAGCTTGGCCGGGATGGGAGCGGCGTGGCTTCAAGCGGGAGAACGCGAGGGCAGCTGAGGCGGACGGTGGTTGCGATCGAGGGTGGCCTGTATGAGGGCTACCCTGTGTTCAGGGAGTACCTAGATGAAGCCCTGGTGGAGATCTTGGGGGAGGAGGTGGCGCAGACGGTGGCGCTAAGGATGACAGAGGATGGGTCTGGGGCTGGTGCTGCCCTCCTCGCCGCCGTACATTCGTCAAATAGACAGCAAGGTTCCATATAGGGAGAAGGGAGATGGTGATACAGGAGCTAGCCCCTCTGTGCAAATGTAAAAAGGGACATTATTTGATATCTATATTCATATATATAAAATCTGGTCATGTGCAGAGAAATACCTGTTCTCCTATCTCAGCTCTTATGATTTTTCTGCCTTGCTCTTGTGGATGTAGGCGTTGCTGTGTACTAGGTTTACCTTTTTTTCAGTCTTGAAGGGAATTATAATTCTTTGTAAATCTGAGTTGCTGATGAACTGATCTTGCAGGCCAAAGTGTCATGACAACCTGACAAGCTAAGATAGGCCACATTACATGACCACAGTAATGATTGTTGTTTTTTTCTGTTGGATGCAGACATCACATTGATCCTTGAAGTTGAAGGATCATCTAGCGAGATATCAAAGATCAATGAATCAGATCAGATTAGACATTTCTGGTTGGTGACCACAATGGCCCTGATCGCGTGCCCTTAAACTCAGCTTATCCGTTTCTTTTTTCATCCGGAACAGTGTTTTTCTCTCATAAATTCCTTCAGCATTTCTCCGAACCATCTAAATTCCTCCAGAATTTCTCCAAGCGAACAGGCCCAATAATGCTGACATTTCTCTTCTGCTGCTTGTTATCTCATTGGCCTGGCATCACAGAAAGAGAATACCAACTTGTATTGAGCTCAGATGACAGAGGACTGGATCCTTGAGTAGTTAATAAGAAGGCCAATAAGAGAAATGGCCCATATCATCACGGCAGTACGTGCCTGGGCCACGGGCTCCAAAGGGCAAAAGCCGGAGCCCAATAGCCGTGGAACCCGGCGCGTGCACCATTCGAAAAGGCGCGACGTCTTCTTCCAGAAGGCTCCGAGCCACACGTCGGCTCCTCCCGTCTCCTCCGCTTCCGCGCGCCCCCCCGCCGCCTCTCTCTCGCTCGCTCGCTCGCTCTCTCGCCGCCGCCGTTCCGCCGCCGCCGGACACGACGTGAGCTCTTTCTCTCCTTCGCCCGCCTCCTCTATCTCCTTCTCCCGGATTCTCGCACCCCCTTCGTCGTTCTCATCCATGTGTTCTGTTGGATAGGGCTCTCCAATTCGACTAATAGGCTCTGTTCCTGATGGATCAAGTTTCGCTGGTACAATCACAACAAGGATTGCACGGGTTGTGCCGCGAATGGTGCACGGGCGGAGGATATTAGGGTACGATCGCAAGGTGAAGTGCCTTTTACATTTGGCAATTTCGCACTCTTAACTGTTGTTTGTTGCGTTTTGATCTCCACAAAGTCGCTAAACATAGCGGAGTGGCACCCTTTTGTTATGAGTAACATGGCAGAGCAGGAATTTGTGTGTGCACGTTTGGAATTTTGGCTGCATTCTTGATGCGGGTAGCGTCGAATCCTTCTGATGTTTGCAGTTTGATATGGTGTCTTGGTTTATTTTGGAAGGATAAGGTGGATTAGACTCTCTTGACGGTAACAATGTGGTCAATTAGAAGTAACTTCAGATGAATGGCTTTATATTTTAGTCTCAAATCAACTTATCTTTGACATGGATTGGACTGACACATCACCAACTGGGAGAAGAAGACTAGTGAGACTTAGTCTTTTTTTTCCTTCTTTTTTTTTTATTCTCAGCCAACAATTAATCTGGAAGCACATTGATTCAGATGAGACATTATAAAGTCTAGTATTATGGAAATTTCCTTGATCTACGAGTTTTACAGGGTGATTTTCGTTGTTAAAGGTTGTCTCTTATCACTATCAGCTATCAAAGGTATCCTTGATGCACAATTATAAAGTTTGCGTAAAGTGGTGGTGATAACAGAGTGACACGAAAGAGCTTTACTAAAACCAAACACAGCTGTTTTCTCTCTCAATCATCTGCATTTCCTTTTGCCCTTTTCTGAAGTAAGGTAACATCAAGTGATGGACGTATTGTCGTTCAAATGTTGAGAAGCACACAAATAGATATTGATATACGCATAGTCTGAAGAAAAATGAAAGGAAAGCTCCGTGTGATGGCAGATAAAAAATGGTGGTTCAGACACTTATTTTGGAGTAGGTGGTTGAAATGGTGGTTCAGACACTTATTTTGGACTAGGAAAATAATTCCTTGATTTTTCAAATTAGTATATTCGTCTGGCTACACGCCTAACAAGTGCTACCTGTGTCCTCGTCATTCTTTGTGCTAGAAACGAGATGGCTTTGTGAGAGAATGAACTTGAAATTGGCTTATTGCAACATGGCTGTTCAGAGAGTAGAGTTTGTGGACATGTGCATCAGGTTGCCAGCTGGTAAGATTGTTCACATAGCTACTGCAGAAGATTTGATCAGACCAGATTATTTAAATCCATAGTTTCTACCCAGTGGTGGATCAACTGTTGAAGCTTCATGTGGCCCCAAGCCCAACATTGATGTTCATCTTGTTACATCCACATCTGATGTACTATGAACTTATCAGCCGGCTTATCAACTAGAATCTACAGTATTTTTCTCTTATAACAAAACAGTTTCAGCCGACTTATCAGCCGACTTTAATACCAGCCGAACAGGCTGATAGCGTGATAATGTAGATTTAAGTCAGATATATGTGAAACAGTTGACCAGGCTTTGTTGTAGTTTCCATTAACACTTCTACATGTTTTTTTTTGTATTAATTTGTTAGCATTCTTATTTCAAGGACCTAGCAACAACTCTCTCAGTTTGGAACATGCAGTTTACTTCATAGTATGTTGACCTTAGATTTCATTTGTAGCTGAACTGTCGGTATATCTTACATAATATTGATTTATGTCTTCTTAAGATCTGACAAGAGGAATCGACTATCTTTCACCTCTGATAATCTGGACAATTCACCTGCTTCTAGTATCATGCTTCCATTTTCTCTATTCCAAAATAACATGTTTATGTTTATGCACCATATGCATGACTTGTTTTGTATTCCACTCTGTAGCTAGTTTACACTGTTGTCGAATTATGGTTCACCTCAGTGTATGGCCTCAAATCGTTCTTAGTATTTTAACTTCTATAGCCTGACTACTAAACATCAATTACCTTCTAAATACTCCACAAGCATTTTCCTAACCAAAACAAATGATCACAACCCTATTTTGGCGCTAGGATGATTTCCACCTAGCCTTTTACAGACATGAATTCATTTGGATAATATTGGTTTTGAGTCAACCTGTTGGTGGAATGATCTCACAATCGCAAAGAACTGCATGCCTGTATTTGAACCAAGCAAAATCTTTGAATATTGTGCTGTTACTGGATTTGAATACTTGCCTGTATTGAGATCTTCTGTTAGTGCTATCATGAGCAGAAGGTGTATCGCACATGCAGTTCTAGACACCATACAGAAACAAAGGTTGTATTCGCTTTATTTTTAGTCTAAATTCTATATCCTGGCTTTGTTTGTTTTCTTCTGATAATAATTAGGAAATGACAGCACATTTGCTTGATACAAAAACTGAGATGTCAGTTATCGAGTTACCATGTAAACTTATAATTCTGCTTGATTGGATTTGAGAAATCTATCATTTCACATTTGTATCCAGTTTCAATAATGGTGCTCTTGATTTCTTATTTGTTATTCAAATTCACACTACAGGTTGCAACATTTAATGCACAAGTCGAGAGAATTCCAAAATGTTTTCTGTTTCTGAACAAAACGACTTCACTGTTTTTGCACAAGCATATAATTGTTGGTTTTAGCCGGGGCTTATTAGCCAGCCAACAGTGTTTTCCTCTCACAACAAACCAGCACTAGCCGGGCTTATCAGCCCAGAAACCAACCAGCGAACAGGCCGAATATCCTGACTCATGGAAATTAATGTAACCTGCTAAATTTAAGCAGGCACTCCTGAGATGAGATGCTAGTTACAAGTGAAATAACAGGCAGTGTTATTTGCTAATCAAGGCTCTACCCTCATGCAACTTTTTTGCACTTTTTTTTAACGGAAAATGCATACAGCCCAACATGAGTTCCTCGGGATACTGGTTAGTGATCAGTTGATCAGCACAGCTCATCTCAACGCTGTAACAACAGACGGGTCCCTTGGACCGCTACAATCCTCCAGTGATTGCCTCCAAAGTTGCACTCACCACGTCAGAGTTCAGGTGACGTTGCTCCACTTTGAAGTCCTGCTTTGAGGTATCTTCGGCCACTAAAAAAGTCGCCATGCTGTGTTCTTCAGGCTAGCAACCTTCCGTAGATATTGTCTTTACAGGGGATACTTTTACCTACACTTTTGTACAAACGTATGCTCTACAGAAGCATTAAAATAGCAGGAACTATCACAAAGACAACGGCAGTGAGGCCTTTGGGAATATTCTCTGTCCTGGTGCTAGGATGGCTAGGGGATCATATCTGTGTTTCCTCCGTTCAAATGTCTCCCACCTTGCTCCAAAGTGGGCTTTCCACTGCTGCTGTGTGGTGTAGGGTGCCAGATACTGTTTCATCCCAATATCAGCCTCTTCACAGAACTCTACTATTTGGTTGTTCAGGTTCATTGCATGTGCAATGCTGCCGTGACCTGAGAGAGACGGTGCTGAAGAAAGGAACCCCACTAGGTAGAAAATTTCCTCATCTGGTATGACTACTGACGTTCTGTTGTCCCACCTGCATCAAAATGAATAGACCAATTGAGCTACCTTAACCGCAACTAGATTAACTTATTTATGACAGTAAATTTTGCAAGTGAAGCAAGTTACTTTGATTTGTTCACTGGATAAAGCAGTATGGGACCATTGTTGCTCTCTTTCAGGATCTTGCCAAAGACTTCCTTAGCAAATCTGCTGATTGAGCTCCTCGGTATTAGAAGATTCAACCAAGGGTGTGGAACTTCCCAGAGGCCTTGTGCCCTCAGCTTCAACTCAGAGGTGTGCACCCTGTCTAAGAACTCCAGGTACGTGACATCCGTGTGGAATAGAGTAGACTGTATGAATCTAAGTCGAGATAGCAGCACAGTAACTTCCTGTAAACGTAAATTTACAGTTATTATCATTGGAGTCTAATGTCGACGTCTTGTTGCAAATTGAAATAACAGGCTCACCTGTTCCATGATATCAGCGTCGTCACTATGGAAGTTCTTGGTTAGCTCGAGGCAGTATAGTACTCTTCCATCAGACTGAAAATGGCTTGCTTGGACTGGGTCTTGTGGCTTGAAGGACGCCCTCCAGTTGTTGAGGATGCCTGTCCTGTTTATGATGACAAAACCTTCAATGTAGTCAAAGGAGTTCTCTGCCATGATCAACATCTCCTGGTCCTCGGTGAAGCTTTCAAAATCCGAGTAAAGAACTCTTATCCACCTCACCTGTCATTGTATATATCCATTTAGTAAATGACTGCATGTTGTACTGAGATAAATGAGCGATTCATTTTACTGAATCGCTTGTCTGATGACTTACCATCTTTGGAGCAGGCTCAAGTGCAATCCTTGCTCTGGTGATGATCCCAAACTGACCAAGACCTCCAAGAGCACCATAGAAGAGATCAGAGTTATCCTCGGGTGAGCAGGTAACGACATCTCCTCTTCCTGCATTTGGTTGTTACGAGTACGATCAGCAACTGTTTTTATCTTTCGTAATGTGCACCTAGCTAGTTCAATGCTTTGTGAGTTCGTTTGAGACCTGTCACAATCTCCAGTTGATTGACATTGCTGACCTGCGGTCCGTGGCGGAACGCCTGCCCGCTGACCCCCGCATTAGACAACGTGCCACCGACCGTGAGATGGAGATAGTCCGTCCACGACTTGGGTGCCAGGCCGTGCTTGAGCGTCTCACGCAGCACGTTGATCCAGAGCTCTCCGCCAGGAGCATCGACAAACGGCGACACACCACCGTGGACCTGGAGTCTAGCACCCTGGAGCGACTCCATCCTGACCACGATCCCCTGGGCCGCCTGGGACTGACCCATGAGGGAGTGCCCATGCCCGCGTGCCGCGACGGTGAGTGGCGATCCCTCGCCCAGGGAGAAGACGTGCCTCACGGTGGTGGCGATATCGGAGACCGAGCCGGGGTGGAGCACGGCGGCTGGCAGGAAGCTGCACTGGTTGCCGAAGTCCCGCGCCATGGCGGAGACGTCATGGAAGCTGAAATAGCCGTCGAGGCGCAGTGCGCCAAGGGACGAGAGCACGTCCTCGTCGGGGACGTGCATGGTCAGCCTGGCGAGCGCCAGCAGGACCAGCAGCTTGAAGCAGTGCACCAGTGATGGCGGCTTCATGGTGGCCGGCCGGCTAGCTCCTCAATTTATAATTCGACAAACCAACAAAAAGGATGGGAGTTCGGCAGGTTGGCGCTGGGCAGTTGGGAAGCTTGGAATCAGAAGGCAGAGAGAGAGAAGAGGGTGGTTCCTGGTGCCTGGTGGCGGGCGAGTTTCTTGAGGTGCAACGAGGTAAGAGGAGGAAGACGGAGGGGGGCGGGGGTTGAAGAAGGCGGTGGCTGTCCATGCAGGGAAGGGAGGGGGCCTCTCTATATAGGAGCGTGCCTTGCAAGGAGTGTGGTGGTGTGGTGCTGATGAGTACAGGCCCGATCTTCCGAGAGGTAGCCGGTAAGTTCGATATGTGGAGATCTCGACGTTGGCGATCCGGCTTCAAATCAGACGCGATTCGAACCATGCAACCGTTACACCACTGCTCCGTTGGTTATCAACCAAGCACAACTTGATTGACCTCGCCAAGAAGGCTTTTCCTGCAAGCGAATCGAAGAGCACAAGCAAGAAGGTAAAACACGCAATCTGATATTGCAAATATGAATGACGCGAATATCAATAGAGGGTTCAAGAACTCGGTTCCAAAGGACTAATCGACACAGTGGAGGAGATCAGGAACGGGGGCCCTGGATCACTGTAAAAGGATTTGTCACCACAGTTACAATGAACGATTCAGTTTCTCGATGGAAAACTAAACTCTAAACAAAACCCAATTGTGTAGCAGCGGCGACGGCTGTGTTTATAGTCTAAGACTCGACCTAGGGTTGGGGACGGCCAGGGGTTGGGCACCCACAACTTGGGCTTAAGGCCCGACACGATACATGGCCAAGTTGGCCCAAATAGGTGACGCAGCACCTTGCCGTGGTCACACAGAATGATCCACGGACCTTCTGGAGCTGGGACCAGATCCAAAACGACGGCGTCGTCGTCCCCTTTCCAACGCATCCAAGAACGGCCCGTTTCGACGTCGTATGAGGAAGTTATGACCGAAACAGTGACGACGTGTCTGCTGAATCCGAGGGTGACGTGGTAGCTGAGTTGGGAACGAATTGCAACTTGGGGAAGACCATGACGTCGGTGTGTCCAGCGTGGCGATGTCCTCATCATCCTCCCCTTCTCGAATTGGAGTCGTCCTCGACTCCATCTTGGCGATGTCCTCATCAGGTGCGGCGGTCAGCTAGTCAGTCCTGGGCGCTAGCTGTTTGGTAAAAACCGTATGGCGACTGTCTGCCTGCCTGCCGGCTTGCTTGCTTGCCGGTTGCAAATTCAGGCGCAGACATGTGCTAGTGGTGCATTGCGGAAGTTTCTTTTTAGTGCATGCTGCTCTCGCTTTGTAGCTCCTATCTTAAGCAACGGGGGAACATGGGTTGGCTAGTTAACAGGCTAACGGAGTGGAGGAGACGACAGAGACCCATCTCATATAGAAAAGAAAAGAAAGGGGCCGGATCGGATCCTCTGTTCCAGGGCTCAGCCTATGCTATTGCTATGCCTATCACCGGCTCTCTCCCAGACAGTCACATGGCTTGCATGCGTCTGTCCCTGGCCAAGCCCATAGGACATCCCTATGTTTTGGTCGCTGGTCATATGCTGTTGGATTGGAGCTAATACTCAGTTTCTGTGAAGGAGACTTCCTTGCCTCACTGCCCTGCCCTCTTCTTCTTCTTAATAAAACATCACATGCATAAACAAAGATGGGTTCGATCTTTTGGTTAGCCTAACCGTATGGACATGGATTACTTGGGATATTTTTTCTTTGGTCTCTCATAGTAACACGCGCGCGCGCGCACACACAGAGACACACTTATTGATAATTGAAGATGGCCAGGAGCTTTCAGATGATAAATATTTGGGACTCACTTGCCCCACATGACATCGGACGTCCGTCCCGTTTCACCCTACTCCACTCCACTCCTGCCGTGTTCCATGCCAGCCCGAGCCTGGTCTCCTCCATTTCCCATGCCTGATTTCCATGCCTGTGCAGTACTGTAGAGGATCCATTCCATGGAAAAAAATTGGGTAAGGGACTCCCGCATGCGGCACCGTGTGGCTGTCCAATAAACCCGCAACACTTGGATCTTCATTTGCGAATCCGATTCCCCTCCCCCACGCGTTGTCATCTGATTGGACAGCCGCACGGTGCCGCGTGCGGAAGTCCCGTACCTAATTTTTTCCCCCATTCCATGGTGACCCGGCCCGCCGGCCGTCGTTGTTGAGCTTGAGCTTGTCCGTCTGGGAATTGATTGACGGGTTGGAGAGCAGCTAGCAGACACCAGGGGTCCTCACAAGTTAGTTTCTGGAAATCTAATAGCATCCGGGTGATGGCAACATGGGCACACATGCGCAACCACTTCTGTGGTAAGACTTGGACCGTCGCATTTGCTGCCGCCTCTCCCCTTCCTCTGCTTATGTTTGTATGTGGAAGACGAGGAGGCGGGCTACGTATAATACATGCGTACGCGGCACAGCAAGCCCGTGTCTATTCTTTGTGGACGCCTCCGAGTCCAGATCGACGATGATGACACCGATCGAGGAAGGGAAGGCGTAGCGTACTGGAGGCGAACGCACGCAGCGGCGGATCAGAGCAAGTCAAGCAGCAGCAGATTGCTACGAATTGCTAGCTGGTCAGTCAGAACACTTGTGACTTGTAGGAGCCGACGATGTCGCTCGCTGTTGGTGTCAGGAATTTATGCTAGTGCAGAGGTGAAACCGACACGATGGACACCGGCAGACGGTAACGCATCGGGATGCGACCAGGTGGTCTGGTCCGGTCCGGCCCGGCGGAGCACTAGGCTGGAGCACGAAGCAAGCAAGCAAGCAAAGGGGACGGACGGAGAGGATCCCATGCGTCCTCGTCGGGGTGGAGGGGAGGCCACTTTGACCGTCCATCCTGTCCGCCCGCATGCATGATGCCTTTGCATTGCCTGGTAGGCAGACTCCACAACGGAGATTCTTCTCCTCTCTCCTCTTCCTCTTCCTCTTCCGTGCCAAACTAACAACCTAAAGTGCCTTGTATTAACACTAAACACTTGTATAATATTATTAAAAATTTAGAGCGCTCCTATTTTAAAAATCTAGACGGCCCTTATACATGCTGGAACCGCGTGTTTGGGAAACAAAACCACTTGAGCAGCTTTTGTAATGTATGTATAGAAGTTGTTTTTTCGAAGGATATTCAAACATGTTAGGAACTATTCTGGTAATGGCTAAATTTATTCTTGTAATAAGTCTAAAAATTGCAGAGAGAGAGAGAGAGAGAGAGAGAGAGCATATATACCTGCAAGGTAGGAGATTTTCAAATACCCATCCGAAGAAACTTTGTTATTGCTATTAGATCGTATGTAAAAAGGAAAAGTGGTGGGTATATATATTAAACCCTCTGATTTGGAAAGGCAAAACACACATGTTTAGTGCTCGCCACGGGCTACCTTCCAGAACGCGGCCTGGCCTTCAAGCTGGGGCCAACCACTACACCAACAATGGTGGATCGTGGATGGATGGCGCCACCATTGATTCATTGTGTTGGCAAATGACAACCTTTAAGCGTTTGACCTTGACGGCGCCCGTCCGTTGCAATTGCAATTGCAATGCACCGTTGTGTCAATGCTGTCCACACAATTCATCGTCAACAGTCACACGTATGTATGCTAGCCGGAAAGACAAATGCATACTGAGATTTTCTCCATTTTATCATCTAAAAAGAAAAGATACAGTATGCCAGTATTACTTTAGTTGATGGCCAATTTCTGATCAGCTTAAGGAAAGATGATAATAATATGGTGCTTGCCAAGTACTCTTCGGACTGCATGATGCAGTGGTAGCACAAGGGGCCTCCATTTGCCACCCAACACAGTCGTTATGGAGGAGTCAAACCGATTGAGATGGTACCAATGATAGACGCCATTGTGCACAGGTGTTGCTGTTTGTGTTCTTGCACTGACTGGCCATGCTGATGCGTGAGCAAGACAAACACTGCCAGCGTTCTGAGAGATGCCCATGCATGCAGGGAGGCGGCCGGAGAGCCATCGCCGGTGCGGCCCGGCCTTGAGATCGCGCGGAAGTGGACTCCCCACGTGGCCTTCCTGACATTTTCGGCGGTGGCTTTCGGCCCGCGGGACCCAGTGCGGACGTGTCAGGCCCTGGCATGGTGCACAAAACTCACAGCCTGTGGGGCATGGCCCACCCTGCTGTTTGGTTCTGGGATCTTGTGTGCTTTTCTCATCTGCACGAGGATGGCAGTTGGCAGGTAAACATCCTCTAGCCTATTCGGGAGGCCGTAAACGATCGTGGATTATTTACTACTGGCTGGTTTGGTGTAAGAGAAAAACACTGTTCTGGTTGAAAATTTACGATCGTTTACGACTAAGCGAACATGCTTGATATAGTGAACAACGATCGTGGATTATTTACTGCTGGCTGGTTTGCTCATGAGTGGTAACGTAGTACTACGTTCACTCTTGCCCTTGGAATCCAAGTCTTGAGTTTGGTAGATCGTTAGCTGTACTACTGTAGTGAACCAAATCTAGCAAAAAAAAACTCACCAAAGGATTTGTCGTCACAGGATTCTACAATAGTGTTGTCAAAACTAGTAGGTGTCATCCAATTGCTGATGTGTTTTGGAAAAAAATGTTGACATGTTTCAAAACTATGTTGCTATGATTTTAGAAACTTTTGAACAAGATTAAAACTCCATGCTATTTTTGCAGGTATATGGCCCCGTTCGCTTGGCTGAAATTGGCTGAAAACACTGTTCTGGTTGAATTGTTGTGAGAGGAAAACACTGTTCTGACTGAAAAAAAGAAGCCGAATAAGCCGGATTATAAGGTAAGCCGAACAGGGCCAGTTTAACCAAGCTCGGGAAACCATTCCCAAGTTTTTAGAAATGCTAAGAGGGTGGATTTTCATCAGATACAACCTCGATCATCAGAAGATAGCAATTCTGCAGTGACATGGCTTCACCTTCACCACAGTTGGGCTTTAGGAAAAAAAAAAAAAATATATGATTACAAATAGTG